GCACGCCCCCCGCTCGCGCGCTGGGGACCTGCTTTTTAAATGGTTTTCCGCGAACAAAGGGGCCTGAGCTCCTGGCTACCGCAGCGGGCCTGCGGCTCGTCCTCAACCCGGTCCGCAGCTCGGGGCTGCCCCCTGCCGGCACCCTCTCCTGCCTCAGCCTCGCCCTGTGCCGGCAAGCCCGAGCCATCTCTGCACCCTGAGCCTCTCCCCGCGCTCAGATGCAGCCTGGCTCCACCCAGTTCCACCCTGCTCCCCGGCATCTCTGCACCTGAACGGGAGTCGACCCCACGCCCACTTCCAATCAGAGAAGGACCTCAAGAAAAGGATTCCCACCTAAGCCTCCCTGGCAAGGGCCCCCGTTCACAAGCGCTAATCAAAACATCGTGCTTAATTTTTTATTATGACACTGAAAGATACATCGCCACACATCCCCTCAAAACCCTTCCCTTCTCTTGGAACGCGCTTAGCCCGTCATCCTTACTACTTTCTGAAGCAGTTCCACAAGCGCTCTTTCCTAGGGGTCTTTACAAGGTGTGATCAAAACATGGTGAATGCTGCTGGCAAATGCCGTCCGATGGGCACTTGGAAAAGGCAGCGTGGTAAAAACATCACCGTGTCCCTATTCATCTTTCTCCCTGGATCTGGTACATGCAACTTCCGGCTCTTCCCTTGCCAAAATCAAAATGACCATGAAAAGGAAACCTTTTGAATCTGTTCAGGACATGGAAGCAGCTATGACGGTGCAACTAAAGACACTCACGAAAGAGGACTCCAGAACTGCTTCAGAGGGTGGCAAGAATGCTGGGTGAGAGGCTGGGGATTTAGCTCAGCGGCACAGCGCCTGCCTGGCAGGTGTGAGGTCATGAGTTCAATTCCCGGTACCGGGGAATGGCAGGGGGAGGGGGGGTGATGGGATGAGTATGCTCGAAGCAAGCGGGAGGACTTTGAGGGAGATTCCTGGCAATGCAGCTTTTACTGGAATAATTTTTTTTTTACTTTAAACATTCACTGTGGTCACACCTCATGGAAGAGCCAGCTGAGGCACACACTGCCTCCCCCCCTCTAGCTAGGTGACTCTCACAGCCGGGAGCAGGTCATCCCAGGTCAGGACTGATTTTAGACACACATGGACGACCTAGGACACACTCTAGACCACTTGCTGGGCAAGTGGAGTGAGGCCACTTAAGGGTGAACAGCCACGTAGGAGCCACTTAATTCCTAATCGCAGGGTCCCTACGGCGCTGCAGTGGGCACCTGGGGGCAGCGGCTGTGGGCTGTGCTCCTAACAGAGCCATGAGGCCAGCAGTGGGCAGACAGCAGGCCCTGCAGGCCGTAATGGACACTGCTCCTTTGGGCAGTCTGGGAACTCAGATATTCCAGAGAAAGAGCCTTGAAATAGACTCAACAGTGGCCGGGAGGTGTTGGGGTGTCCGGGCACTGCTGTGCAAGTGCATATTGGGCCAGGAGGGGGCCAGGGACCTCGCTTCTCCCCTCAAAGCTAAGAGGACTTCATTCCCAAGAGAGAGCCTCCCTTCGCCAAGGCCTCTCTTTGGATGACCGACACCCAGCCTGTCCCACACAAAGGGACGCTGTCCCAGCAGCCCGAGGAGGCCCGTCTTGCCCACCTGCACGGGGGTGTGAGTGACAGATGGCTGTTGGAGCTCTGAACACATTTCAGGTGAGTCAGCATCAGGCTGGGACCCAGGGCGGATGATGCCACCCTGGCCTGTCTCAGAGAGAAGGGGACGCCTCCGTTCCTAGCTCCCAGGGTGCCCATAGTGCAGTCGTCGGTCACAGGGATGACGTCCACCGGCCAGAACCCTGGCTCTGGCGGGAGCGGGATGGTCCGGGCTGCTCTTGGACCGGAAGCCTGTTCACTGTGGAGCCAGGGGCCTGCACTCAGGGTATGTGTGAGCACCAGGGATAGGGAGCCCTGCGTGTGTATTTGTTGGCGGTGGCTTTAAGGCTGTGCAGGAATCTGCTAAATGAAAACTTTCGCATCTATTTACTTCTCGCCTGCACCGTGTAGAACAAGACAGTAGATCTGAAGTCCATAGGTTTGGTTTTTTAAAACTCTGAAAGTCTCAAAATCAATTTCATTCAACCCCTGCCCCAACTCGATAGTTAAATATTAACTTTGGAACTCTGCTGTATAACCAGTTAGGAATCTAATTTCAGTAGACTTACTTTTGGAGCCTGTAAGATTTCTGTCCAGGGGCGCAGGGTCCACTTGCCAGTGGTGGCTGAATCAGCACTGGGGTAGGCCGGTCTTCCCAGCTCGGATTTGGCTTTGAAAAGGCGCTGGGATTGAAGTTAGTCAGCGCCGCCGCTGTTCCTGGAGTCGCCTTCAGTCAGACACAAACAGAAGCAAGTGAAGACAGCAACAGGTGAGATGTGCTACAGAAACGAACCAGGAGCCGAGAGAAAGACTGTGATAACTCTCCCGGGCAGGGAGGAGGAAGGACAGAAGGCCTCCTGGAGGAGGTGGCGCTGGGAACGGCCTCTGGTTCTCATCATTCCTCCCTGGGGCGGTACCCACAGCATCCCGGGGCCAGGCCTGAAGCGCTTCCGCAGGAGAGGGGACCGGTGGCAGTGACCTCCTGCAAACTGTCAACGGGACCTGTGGCAAGAAGAAAGTCCGCTCCCTACCGAACAGCGATGCTGAAGGAGAGGCTGCCCGGTGAGTGGCGGTACAGGCATCCTGACGCTGCCCTTGACGGGTGACCTTGAGAGGGACATGGTCCAGGCCTTGGTGCCTGCTCTGCCCTCTGCCCAGAGCACCTTCTACCTTGTTGCAGACATGGAGAGGCCCGGTGCTCCAGGAAACCCTCCCGCCAGGGGGCGCCCTCTGCGTCTTCATTTATTCATTCAGTCAGTCAGTCACTCCACAGAGCTCACTGAGCACGTGCTGCGGCCAGATATGAAGCCACGCACTTGAGTAAAACAGGCACAGCAACCCGCCCTCGGAGCTTCCACCCCGCACGGAGGCCTCGGTAGGGACACGCAGTACCCCAGCACTGTGCAGAGCTGGGGAGCTCGTGAGGAGCAGTCAGCTTTCAGCGCCTTCCCTGACTAAGTTCTCTAGAAAATCCGTCTCCTGATTATCCAAACCCAGGGCAGGTTCTCAACCACAGCCACCAAATGGGCAGGATGCTGGGTGAAAGGAGTGTAGCAGACCAGGAAGAGCCAAGGAAGGGCATGGGGAATGTGGGTGAAAAGGGTTGCAGTTTTAAATAGGAAGGTGTGGGGTGGGGGAAGAGGTCAGAGCAGGAAAAACAGGACATGCAAAGGCCCGGAGGCAGTGCAGAGTGAGAGAAAGGTGACAAGTGGGAGGACAGGCTGTGCAGGGCTCCAGGGCCTGAGAGGAGCATGGCTAATGCAGAGGGCGGGAGGAGACGCCGGCTGACTAAGGGCACCCAGCTTCCCTCCGGAGACTGCAGGGAGGAGCCAGGGCAACAAGGGAGGACACCGGGGACAGAGGCAGGGAGAGCAGGGGGGAGTCTTGTAACTCTAGGCCAGGTGGCCTGGTGGACTGGGCTGGTGACTGCGAGGAGGGTGATGAGGATGCCGCAGTGGAGCTCGGGGATGCCGTCCCACATGAGGTGCAGGCCTCGGAGAAGAACGGAGGGGCCAAGCACTCTGCAGACAGCTCTGGACCGGGCTGGCATTGTCGGCACAGAAAGGGGCTGAGCAGACCTCAGCTCTGGAAGCCAGGCTACTCCCGGCCGGGCAGAGACGCCTATGGCCTGACACGGAGCCCACACCAAAGCCACGCCTGAAGACCGCGGAGTGACAGGCCACAGATAGGAGAATGCCCAGGGCAGGCCCTGAGGTCCTCCATCGGGAGCTGGGTGGAGAGAAGCTGGAAAGAGACTGAGAGGGAGCAGACAGCTGTCACAGCGGGCCAGGCGCATGTGCAGAGCTCGGCCAGCGGGGAGCGAGGGACCAGCCACGCCAAGGGCTGCCGAGGACCTCAGCGTGCAGGCTGTCAGCCACACTCTGGGAGGCTGAGGCAGGAGGATGGCAAGTTTGAGCCCAGCCTGGGGAATTTAGTGACTTAGCGAGACACTGGGTCAAAATGAAAATTAGAAAAGCCCTGGAGATGGAGCTCAGTGCAAAGGCCCTGGGTTCAATCCTCTGTACAAGAAAGAGGAGGGTCACAGTTTGGGGTTTTGCAAGGGAACAATAGAATACAGAACACATATTTTATAAGATTATTTATAATAGTCACCCAAAGAATCATACACAAGGCAGTGCAGGAAATGTGTCCACATACTAGAGACCAAAGAATCCAGCTGAGGGCCTGGATCCCACAATAATGTCCTGTATGAGTCCAGCTGAAGACCTAGAGCTCATAACAATGTCTCATGCAGCCCTGTTTCACGGATCTGCACTGAGAAGGCCCAAAGGTCAGTGGTAGAATCTACAAAGTCTGTGCCAGCTGGATGAAGGATCTGTCTAGCAGGCTGAGGGATCTACACTGGAGCCAGGAAACAATGCTCAAAATAAGAACCAGAGCTCCCCGGAAAAGTACCACAGCCATCCTCAGCAACAGTGAGGTCCCGAGCTCCTCCGATGATGAGGACAGCTGAGTTCCCATCAGGAAAGCCAATGTGACAAGCTTCTCAGGAGCCTGAGCTGTGCACCTTCTTCCCCTCCGGAGTCAGGAAGCGATGCTCAAAGTGAGGACCAGCGCTCCCCCAAAGGGAACCAAAGCTATTTTCAGAGCCAACAACGTCCCAAGCTCCTCAGAGGATGAAAACAGCCAAGTTCATCAGGAAAGCCAGCATGACGAGCTCCTCCAAGAGAACCAGCAGCTTTCAGCTCCAACAGCCTCTCTTCTTCCTCTCCAGTTCTGCCTCTTACGCTGCTGGCAACAATCCTCAGGTGGGCCTCCCACACCAGCACCGCGCTGGTTCAGTTCAGCTGGGGGTTACAAGTTGCCCACCAGTTGTCAGCCCACCACAAGGAGGAAAAGGAAGAGAGAAGAGGAGGGTGGAGGAAGGAAGGGGGAGGGGAGGAGGGGAGAAGAGGAGGAGGGGAGAGGTGGGGAGCGACAGCCTGGGACAGTCCCCTGGACCTAGCATAATGAGGACACTGGCCACAGGGAGCAGTGGGATGCTGCACGGGTCGGGACTCGGGTCGGGACTCATCCACAGGGGTGGGACGAAGCAGAGGCCAGACACGATGTGGGGCATAGGGGTGACGAGGGGACAGAAGCCCCGGGCGGTCCCCTCTGGTGACTTTTATCTCAGTGGAGGCTACAGCACCCCTGTGGCAGGGTACGGCGTTTGGGTGGAAACTCCAGGACAGCCACCTGGTCTGCTGTGCACCACCGTTCCACGCCTGGCCCAGCACTGGCCTTGGACAGAGCTCAGAGCACACCGACACAGCTAGGTCGTCCCAGGACCCGGGACCAGTGGGTCTCGCGCTCCTGGTCTCCAGCCAGGCATCCAGCGCCATTCTGAGTCCCGCTTCTGCTCACAGCAGTCAGATCTTACTGCTGCCGTGGACCCCCTGCCCTGCCTTCTGACTGCGCTTAGAAGGGGCACAGCTGCTGGGAGGGGTGGTCACGCCTGCTATCCCAGCACTCCGGAGGCTGAGGCGGGAGGATCACCCAGCCGATTGTGAGACCCTGTCTCAAAAAATGAACAGAAAGACTACGTGGCCAGCCTGTGGAGCTCGGGGGACAGAGAGCTGCCTCCCCCGTCAGCTCATCCCCTCTCTCCTCAGGGAGCAGCAGCAGCCCAGGGTCCTCTCAGACCATCAGTTCCCAGGGCAGAGGCGTCCCGCCCACGCCGCAGCCTCAGATCTGGGAGCGCCCGCGGAGCAATCAGCGAGATCGGCAGCCGCCACGGTTGGTGGCAAACCCAGGAGGCTCTGGGGAGACCAGGCAGGTCAGCTACCGCCACCTGCTTCCTGAGTCAGTAGCCACAAGGGAAATACCACCCTCGGAGGAGGAGGAGGAGGCGGAGCTTGTCACCTAGATGCGCTCGAGATAAACTCGAGATAAACGCTGCCGCTGGGGCAGGAGCACACGCTTTCTAGGAAGCCGCTGCCCGGCCTCGGGTGTTCACCTGCAAGAGAAGCAGCAGGGACAGCTGCAGGCGGTGGGTGGTGGGCGAAGGCGGCACTCTGGACTGGAGACGCCTCACGCTCCAGGCCCCGCGCTCCCCTCCTAGCGGAGAGAACACCCGCCTCCTCCGCTGTGTGCGCAGATGCCAGTGCAGAGGGCGTTTCCTTCCCCTGTGGAGGGCGATGAAGAGACTCCTCGCATCTGCTTCCTTTATTAAGAAACCCATTTTAAACAGTTATGGCAGATGTGCGTGCTTGCTTGACCATCAGCGGAGCAGCTCCCCATCCTAGCGTTCAGCGGCCCCCACCCCACCCCCGCTCCAGCCCTGCTCCGCAGCCGAAGTCTGTGCGAGGGACACTCCCAGGCCAACCCAGGCGCCCCAGTGTCCTAACGCAATTTCCAAAGCTGAAAAAAATCACCCAAATACAAAGGCTGTGACGGCCTGTTGCGGAATTTGGTTCTAGATCTCAAATAGGTAAGGTTGGCAGGGGTGGGGGAGGTTAAAATCACCCCCGGGGCTCTCTCAAAGTACATGCACCCCCTACCTCGTCCCAGGTCTCCCGCCCGGCCCGGTGGAGTGTCCCCCAGCCACGAGCCAAGTATCGCTGCCGCAGACTCAGCTCCACCTCCGGCCACCATCCCCAGCCCCGAGGGCTCCCGCTGGAACTCTGAGCTGGAATCATGAATGTGCACTTCCCGCGAGGTCCCAGGTCTGCCCCTGGTCCCCACCGACCCAACTGCAGCTGGCTCTGCGTATGGGGCGCAGACAAGGCCAGGGTCGCCAGCGTGAACAGAAGAGGGTGTGTGTGCCCGGTCCCCCCCGCACAGCCAGCGGCTCCTCGGGGACCCGCGTTCAGGCCATCTGGCAAGAAGAGAGCACAGGGACGTCGAGGACGCCCTTCCCTGCCGAAGCCACCAGTCCTCAGGCTCAGCCCACCCGCTGGGACAGACACTGTCCATGCGGACATCACAACCCCATTCTCGAAAATCATGAGCGCCCGGCAGCAACCGAAACCACAGCACTTACACCTGTGTCACGCCACACCCCATCGGTCCCTGAGGCCCCCTGTGGTCCCCCATGGCCATGGGCACCAGAGAGAAAGGAAAGGGGCCACGGTTCCCAGGAAGGAGAGCCGCAGTCTGGGAAAGACGGAGCTAGGGAATTGGCTGTCATCGCCAGCGAGCCCCTGTCGCACGTGAGACCACGCCGTCCCGTAAGTCTCTGTGCATGGGGTCGGGCGTGAGGGCTGGACTCGCCCTCCTCCCCCAGAACAGGGGCCTTGGTCAGCACTTCCAGGCTCTGGCACGGAGCCTGGACACACTGGGCCCTCCAGTGATGGCGATGCATCTGTTACCCTAGTCTCTGAAGTCATGTTGCCCCAGGGGACAAGTGCCATTGTGGGCAGAACCACGCAGAGCGTGTTCCGCCCAGGGGAGCAAAGTGCGCATTCTGGGAATTCGGCCGGGGGTGGAGACCCTTTCCCCTAGTCATGCTGGCTTGCAGCACCTGGCTCTGCGCCGGAGAACTTATTCGGAGTTATTAAGCCTTAGCCCCTGTGTATTCAGAAACTGCACCATGGCTCTTCCAGAGAGTCCCTGATCTCCAGACTTCGCAAAGATCCCTGCCTTTTGGTTCTGTTATCAAAATCGGCCCCTGGCAGAGACACTGATCCCAGGCTGAGGAGTCTTACTCTGTGGTGGGCACTGTGTGAGGACGTGGGGTGAGGGTCAAGGGACAGGATTTCTATCACACCTGTGCACACCCAGGCGCACTCATACGCTAACACTTAGGTGTTAGCTGATTAAGTGGTGTCTTCGCTACTTTCCTCGTGGCTGGGACAAGATACCCAACACACAACTTAAGGGAGGAGAGGTCTATTGTGGCTCACATTTCAGGCCAAAGTCAGCTGACTCCAAGGCAGGACAGCATGGCAGAGGGGCCTGGCAGAAAAGAGCTGCTCACAGCATGGTGGGAAGGAAGCAGTGAGAGGAAGACAAGAGCTAGCAAGGGAGATGCACCCCTCCAGGCCTCACCCCCAGTGACCAGACTCCACCGCCTAACAGCAAGTCAGCTTTCCCGCCTCAGCAGTCCAGTCACCTTTCTAAAGCCCTGCTTGCTGGGAATGGTGGCGCACGCCTGTAATCCCCACAATCGAGAGGCTGAGGCAGGAGGATCATTGTGAGTTCGAGACCAGCCTGAGCTACAAAGTGATCTCCAGGCCAGCCTGAACTGCATAGTGAGATGCTGCCTCAAAAAGACAAAAATAAAAAAGAAAGAAAAAGAAAGAAAGAAAGAAAGAAAGCCCTGACTTTGAGCACATGAGGCTTTGAGGGGGATGCCCAGCTGTACACCCTAACACATGGCAGGAGTCACTGTCCCCTGGAGGTGTCTCCCGTCCTGTCCATTCCCACAGCCCTTAGCTTGCCTGTCTTCTCTTCTGCCTCACATCCAACTCAGAGAGCCTTCAAGAGTGGGGTGCACCCTACACAAGCCAGTCCTTTGGGGGTGTCTTATATTCTGTTCTACACCCTCCAGATGAGTCACTATGATTCCGAAAACCACAGCGGTTCATCACAGGAAAATCCACGTGAAAACTGCCTTTGCATCTTGCATAAAACCCTGGTCAACGCCCTGGCCCATCAGTTTCTCCACAGAGGCCCCGCAGGAGATTTCTGTAGCCTCTAAAACAAAACAAGTTTTGTCTCTCCTAAGGAGCCTGTATATTCTTCTCCCCACCCCCTGTTCTTTTTTTTGGAAACTAAGACCTCAGAGTTAAATACAGTTCTTTTAGGTGTTGTATATTTACTTCTCCCTTCGGTGATTCTGAAAACATGATGACTATTTCAAAAGTCCTATTCAGTATATTTGTGCTGTTCTTGTTATAAACCATGCATCTTTTCTTTCAGTCTTCCATAAAACTTGATTTGCTTGATTTTTTTTTTTTTTTGAATCAGGGTCTTACTATATAGTGCAGGCTGGCCTTGAAATCACAGTGATCCTCCTGCCTTGGCTCCCCGAGGATGACAGACAGGTGCCACCGCACCCAGCTCACACTGGCTGTTTTAAGGGCCGGGTTATCTATAGCTCAGTGGTGGTGGTACAGCACCGGCCGAACATGCATGGATCCCTGCGCTCAAAAACAAAAGCATTTAACCCTGATGTTTTAGCCTCGCACTGGAGCCCAGAAGGGATCTCAGTAGGAGCGGTGGGGAAGCTGCGTGGTGCTTGGCAGGCAGCCTTTCACAGGAGGGAGCCTGCCAGCAAACCCCCATCAGACACCTACTGTTTTCAGAATCCTGCTGGCCCCGGCCCTTTCCTGCAACCGTTCTCTCCCACTCATGATCAGCAGGGGCAATAAAGCTTCCAGAAGCTGGTCAGAGTCCACTTCCTGTTGGCCAGGCTGGCCGGATGCTGGGCTGGGCACAAAGAGACTTTAGACTGCCCTGTCCTCCGAGGCTTTTAGAATACTCCTCCCCCGGCTCGCTCCCACTGGCCTGGGGGTCTGATCCAAACCTCAGCCCTCATGCTCTGCAGAGGCCGGATGGCACCCTGCTGGCCCGCAGAGACCCTGGGGGACAGGCCGCCGGCTGCCTCCCGAGGCCTGGCCTGCAGCACAGCTTCGGCATGGCTCTAATTCCCCCTCTAATCCCCCGCAGCCTCCTCTGCAGCGGCTGCGTTGGGTGTTCTGGCACCAGGGGCCGCGTGAGTCCTCTTGGCCCCTTTCCCTGACTTTCTTTAAATATAAATTTTCAAATGTGACTTGGAGATGAAAGCAAGAATGCCGAACGTAGGCGATGCTTTCGTGTGTTCAGTTACAGCCCTGGGGAGCGCCCCACACAAGGAGCTGCTCAGAGCTGCGGCCAAGACCGAATCTGCTTTTCCAATAAGTACTTCAAACGGCATAGGATGTCTGGGCTCCGTCCAGCAAGCGGGAGGCCAACAGTTAGCAGGGCTGGGCACGGAGGCAGGGCCGCCCGCCACCGATCAGAGCGGCTTTCACTGCAGCTGAGGTTCTGAGACACTCGTCTGGCCCCCCCAGACAGCAAGCGGCATGAACCTACCTTGGGGGCCTCGTGGGGCAGAGCTTCCAAGATTAAAGGCTTCGCCGTCCCACTTAATTACTCCCCATGCCATTTTCTTTATTTTGCCAGGTCGAAGTGCTTTACCGTAAGCCCTAGGTGTGTTCCAAGTTACTTTACCGGGCTGGAATTCTGTGGATCTGAGGAGAGAACACATTAGACACACGGAGGACCGGGGAATGGGGGTAGTTGGTGGTCCTGGTGATGACGGATGGGTGGGCAGACGGACAGACAGTCACACACATTGGCTGGGGTAGAGAGGGTGGCAGTGCTGCGGGGGAAATGGGGGAGGTTTAGCGGTTCCGTTTCCCAAACTCTGCTGCCGAAACTTCTCAAAGCAAGTGGCCTGCCCAGCCCCATCGCAGGGCCCATCTGGAAGCCAAGTTTTGTTTTGTTTTGTTTTGTTTTTGTACTGGGAATTGAACTCAGGACCTTGTGCTCGCCAGGCAGGCGCTTGTGCTGCTGAGCTATATCCCTGGCCCTTGGATGCCACGTCTAGCAAGCCACACTTTTCTATGATACCAAATGCTGCTTCAGTAACCTGGTTGCACCTGACAGGGCACCACCTCCTGCCTCCCACTGTCACAGAGTTTTCTGGCCTCAGGTGTGGTACAGGAACATTTTGCAAGCTGTAGTTACCATGGCCTCCCCAGTTTCCAAGTCACAGAGGCTCACCGTCAGAACTCTGGATCCCAGTGGCTGGATCCCTGGGTTCGTTTTTGTTTAGCCCCTTTTTTTAATTTTTTGCAGTACTCAGGAACAAACCTTGGCCTTGCACCCAGGTACATCCCCAGCCCTTTTCTATTTTTGTTTCTGAGACAAGGTCTGGCCAAGTTGCCCAGGTTGACTTCAAACTTGTGACTATCCTGCCTCAGCCTGCCTGAGCGTGGGGAGTACAGGCCTGCACCACTACTGAGATTTGAGCAAAAAGATCCGGACTTGTTAAGGAGAAGTCCTCTGCATGGACAAGTGCCACCAGGGGTTTCCAAACGTGGGTGTGGATAGTGACTTGGTAAAAACCTGTCCCTGGGCCACTCCTGAAGTTCCAAAAGAGCCACTGAAGTGCACACAGGAGGTGCAGTTTTGGTAGCAAAACACTCTCCCCTCCAAGTCTTGCCTCACGGGTCCCCCAAGGAAGGTCCTGTCTGACGACTGTCTTTAAAATCGCAGTCCACACACTTCCTGCCCACCCCCCTTACCCTGTGCTCCTTTTCCTCTAAGCCCTGTCACCACCTATTCCCCATGGAATCCACATATTTTATGCCTGTTCCTGGTCCCCCCTAACCTCCTAGAAAGTCCACAGGGACGGGGTCTATCTTGTTCACTGCTGAGTCCCATGGGCCTAAAACAGCTCCTGGGTTAGCAACCATCCATTTAAAGTGACCACTCAGAGCCAGGCATGGAGGTGCACATCTGTAATCCCAGCACCCCGGGACACTGAGGCAAGAGGATCCCGTGTTCGAGCCCAGCCTGCACAATTTAGCATATTAGCGGAACCAAAATAAAAAATTTTTTAAAACCCAAAAAGCAGGACTGAGAATGTAGTTCAGTGCAAAGGTCCTGGGTTCAATACTAATAAATAAATAAAGTAAAAATCACAACTTCTCAGAGGCAGTTCCAGTGGCCCATAATATTCACGATCAGAAACCCTGGCCAAGGGAAAACATGAGATTTGGCCCTGGCTGGAGGTGAGTTTTGGTCCCCGCTCTGCTCCTGCACTCTGGGAGGTTGGCCGACATACACGGTTGTATCAGCTGGAATGGCCCTGCACAGCGGCATCCGGGCCTCTGTCCACAGGAGCACAACCCTCGGACATGCAGCCCAGGGTCCAGAGCGTGTGTCCCCACTCCAGCTGCACCGCTTACCTCCAGGGACCCTGAGCCAGCCCCCCTCTGTGTCTACCCCTAGTTACCCAGGAGCCACAAGCGCGGGTCCCTGCTCCTCCGAGAGCTGATGTGTCGTGAGTGTCCGATGCCCTGCAGGGCTCTGGCCAGGCACACGCTGGGGCCGAGGGGCACCTGCCCTGACATGTGGCCACCTCGGTCTCCTCCGCCAGCCCCAGCCCCACGTGAGACCCACTCAAGGCCTGGACCTTGATTTGGGAGGAGTCCAGCAGGAGCGGGACCCACGCCAACAGGCCACACCCCTGTCCCTCTGAGCCCGGTGCTGCCTGTGACTCAGTATCTGCTGACTTCCACACTGACGCCTGCCTGTCAGGAGGGTCTCTCACTGGGATTTGGGGACACTGGCTTCTGCAGAGGAACTGCTCCCTCTTGAAGCCTCCCACTCTGTCCACACCCCAAGGCTGTCCCAGCTGGGTCCTAGCAGGGGCTCCCACTTCTGAGGAATTCGCTGAGAAAGGGACCCACCAGCAGCCACGTGTGTGTCCTGGGGGGAGTCCCTTCCCCTCTCTGGCAGGCCTGGCTCCCTGACGTCTGTCAGTGTGACTGTCTGCTCCTCCACATCTGATCAGCATCTGGGGAAGTGACCCAGAGTGCACTGCTGCCTGGACGGGGTCCCTTTCCGAAATAAAGTTCCACCAGTACCCGGGACCCACCCCCCAACATACACACCCAGTGCTCCCTACAAACCCACTGCTTCTGGTGGTACACTGGGGCACGCCCTGACGTCCTCTCTCCCGCCTCTGTGTGTGCAGGCCCTTCAGCGGGAAATACGTGACCCAGGGGCTCAGACAGAAGAGGAGGGGGAAGCGAGGCACCAGGACAGGAAGCCAGGGGAGGGCAGCGGGAAAGAGAGGAGACAGAATGACAAAGGAAGGGGGTGCCTTCCTGCAGCGGCAGAGCCCCTGGCTTCGGGGGATTTCCTAGGACCCTGAGGGAACCTCCAGAAGGGTGCAGGAGCCCTGTGGGTGCCGAGCGATCCGAAGTGACCCCGAGGCATGCCTGGAGGAGGAGAGGAGCAGGACCCGCTAGCCAGGCAGCCCTCCCGAGGCAGGCTGCCTCCCCAGCCCTGAGCACCCAGCGCAGCGCGGATCAGCTGGGGGCGTGGCCGGGGTGGCCTGGGCGGGGCTGTGGGCGGGGCCGGATCCTCATCCCCTTTGCTGGCGCAGAATTTACATCTTTTAATGCGATCGTGGCTTAGAAGGCTACTCTGGACACCCACTGTTAGGTCACGCCCCGCAGCCACCGTGTGTTTGGAAGCGTCTCTTGATTGGTCCCTTGAGCCCCACCAGATTCAAATGAAGGATTGACAATGGCCGGTCTCTGATTGGTCCTGTGTGCAGAGGCATGGCGTCACTGTGGTGAGTGTCCCTCACCCTGTGGCCCTGTCCTAATCTTTGGCACACAGAGATCCGCACTAGACCCGTTCTGGCCCAAGTGTAGAGTCCAGGCAGAGAGACAGATACCAGTCAATGACTGATGAAACAGATATCACAATACCAAGGAGAGGTCAGTGTCCGTGTGGGCAGTGGACGCTAGAGTCAGGGAAATCAGAGCTGGCTTCCTGGAGCGGGTGCCGCTTTCACAGCCAGTGCATGATGGAACCGGACCGCACCCCAGCCTGGCCTCGTTTGGACCTCAGGCTCCTAAGTCCCCCTTTGCCCCATCCCCAGGGGAAGCAGATGTAGGGGGTGATGCTGGTGGCTCAGGAGGACCAATCTGGAGGCCACGGCCTCTGCCACGCAGGACTGCATCCTGCAAGGAAAGCGGCACCAACAGTCTCCACCCCTGTGTGGGCCTGGAGCGCGCTGGGTAACATTCCGAACTCCTTTCTGTTTACTGCCAAGAAATAACTGATCTGAGAAAATGATCAATTTTTAGTTGCTAAGGAAAAATGGGGTGGGTGTTCGTTTTCTTCCCAGCTGCACCACCAGGTTATCAGCTTTCCAGAAAACAAAGAAACTCAGGTTAAACTTTAACCGGGAGCTCTGTCAGTGTCGCTGGTGTTAGGAGCGGAGAGGCCTGGAACAGGACGGCCCGGGATGAGCAGGCCCATCTCCGCAGGACTGGGTGGGGGACCCCAAGGAGGACGTCGTATCCCAAGGCACAGACACCTGGGTCCCCAGGCAAGGGCCAGTAGAGGTGCTCGAGCTTGGTCCCTGGTAGGGAGAAACAGGCAGTGCCCAGCCCTGCAGAGCGCCCAGCACCAGGAGAAGGGCTGATAGGGAGCAGGAGAGGAGCCGGGGGAGGGCACGAGGGAGACACACACAGAGACACACACCCGCAGGAGGGAGCACTGCTGCAGGTCTTAGAGAATCCACAGACTGCAGCTCAAGCTAAGGGAGCGTGCAGCCGAGGGGTAGAGGCCAGTGTGGCCCTGGAGGCTGGCAGGCTTTTGCAGGGCTGTGGGCTGCCCCTCCAGGCTTGCCCAAAACAGGGCCTGGTGGGACAGGCACATGGGGCTGCAGTGGAGAGTGTGGGCATCAGGGTGGCAGGGAGCCCCGGCAGGAGGCTGCTGGGTCACCAAGGGTGGCCTGAGGTGGGGGGCAGAGGTATCCAGAGGTACAGCTGTGACGCTCAGGGTGGGGCAGGGGCCAGGATGAGGATGACAATGCTGACGATGACGCGCTCTGACTTGGCGCGGCCCCAGATGGGCTGGGAGTCCAGCCGGCAGCAGGGCCCACACTGGGGTTGCAGACTGAGGCATTCAGCGCAGGGAGTGCTTTCAGGGGTGCTGTGAGGCCTGAGAAGCCCAGGTTTTCTGCTTGTTTTGCTGTCTGCAGTCCTGGGGATTGAACCCAAGGCCTTTGCACTGAGCTATGTCCCCTGCCCTGTTCTATTACTTTGAGACAGGGTCTGGCTAAGTCACTAAGTTTCCGGGGCTGGGCTGGAACTTGTGATCCTCCTGTCTCAGCCTCCTAGAGCGCTGGGATCACAGGTGTGCACCATCTCACCTGAGGCCACACAAGTGCATCCTGTGCCTTCCTCCTCTTCATCCCTTCCTCCCTCCTGCTGCCTGGAGCACAGGGGTGGCGCCGCCTCGGACCACGAAGTCGAAGTCACGCATGTAGCAGTGACTCTGTCTGTCCCGGCCCCATCTGCTGTAACACAGCCCTCAGTGGTGTGAATCAATGCTTGCTGGCCGACTCTGTGAATGGATAAATGAGCATGGAGGGGTTCTTGATCCTAGGAAAGTAATGTCAGCCTGGCTTACAGCACAGACAAACCTTTCTAACTTGTTTAAACTCCATCCTAGTCACTGAGACACAATACCTAACACCCTCAAGTTAAAGAAAAAAGGGTTTATTTCAGCTCATGGCTCATAGGAGTTCAGTCCACGGCCTGCTGGCTCCTAGGCAAAGCAGCAGTGCATAGCAGCTAGGTGGAGGAGAGGAGGCTCACAGCACGTCAGACAGGAAGCAGAGAGAGCAAGGGAGGAGCTGGGGGCTGAGAGGAGCTCTTCCAGGCCACACCCACAGCACCCACCTCCTAGGGCAGACCCCGCCTCCCAACAGCAAGCCCTCTGTGAACCCCATGACTTTGACACCACCCAGGAGCCCTACACACCATCGCATGAGGCTCTGGGGAGCAGCTAGATAGAAATTGAAACAACGCCCCGCCTAATCATAACCAGCGCAATACTGCAAAGTCCTAGTCCTGGTTTATGCCAAAGACAGTTTCCTTAAAGTGTTAAGCTGTACCTCAGTAGATCTACCCACATGTTAAATGCAGCTGATTTTTTTTTTAATGCTGACATTACTGTACAGTGCCAAAATCCATCCATCCATGTTTAGTAAGCTCAGGCTTCCTGCGGTTCCCAGAGCACTTCCGCCTACGTCATGGGCTCTCCTCGCTCCCGGGCCTTCGTCGCTGACAGAGGAAGTGGCCGCACGAGGACACCCCCAGGCCTCTGACTCCATGCTCCTGCCCACTGTCACCAGGGCTGCTGCCGACACAGGCGGGGTCCCGCTGTGTGCTTTGGGGTTAGGTCACCCCGACAGCCCACTGCCCCAGCACCAGGACCTGTCTGGACGCCTGACCCGCAGTGGTAGCCGAGCATAGAAAACAGAAGTTCAGGGACATTACATAAGATCACACATGCACGCACACACACACACATGCTCTCTCTCACACTCACACACACTCATACACACACCACAAAAACAGACAAGCCACAGAGCCAAACAGAAGACCGTCAGTGTACGCTCCCCAAGCTAGTTTTTAGATTACATATTACGTTCGGATTATTTGTGTTCCTTCTGCCTATACAAAAAGAAGAAAGAATCCAAGCTGGGCTTGTGCTGCACACCTATGCCCCAGCGCGGAAGCAGGAGGATCACGGAGAGTTCGAGGCCAGCCTAGACTACATAGCAAGCCCATGTCAAAAAAATATTGCAAACAAAGAATGTCCGGGTCTGTATCTCGAAGGTCTGCTCAGGGCTCAGGGCTGGTCTGCACCTGCCCGTCTCAGGGTGTAGGAGGTCTCGGGAGGGTTGTGTTCCGACCTCTCCGTGCATACCTCCGAGGCTGACATCCCTCAAACTGAGGGGCAGGCAGACGGAGGACCACAGGGTGTGCGGCAGCCAGGTCAGCCGTCCCCCGGGGTGCCAGGTGCCAGGCTGCCCCCCTCCCCCCCCCGTCAGTCACAGCAGGGGACCTGCAGCAGGGCGGGGGAACAGGACAGTGGCATTCAGCCTCTGTCTGGCCCAGCCCCGCCTCAGCTGCTTCTGTGTCCCTTCCCCGGCACAGATCGGTTCCCTGGGAACAACCTGCTTTGCGATGTCGCCTCGCTCTCCCCGTGTACTTTGTGGGAGCCTGCTGTGGGTCAGACGGGAAAGTCGTCATCACCCCAAAGCTACTCCTCCAAGGGGGCCCCAAAGCAGCCCGCGCACCTGCGCTGCTAACCAGGTCACGGTGGGCTCCATCCCCACAGCCCCGGCTTCACAAGCCGTCACAGGCACAAGCGCACCCGGCCTGGACAGCGGCCCCCGCGTCCTCTCTGGGCAAAGCCACGGCAGGCAGAGCTACTGTCCGCTTCTGTCTTTGTCCTGAAACCTTCCTGCTTCTGTCTCACCAGCCTAACACATCACTGACATCATAAGCCACACCCCCCCCTCACCTCTCTCTCTCCCCTCTCCCTGACTCTAGGGGTGGAACTTAGGTGAAAGGTACAGGACCCCACGCTGCCATCTAAGAGACAATGCAGTGCTCTTGCCAGTGGCCTTGTAAGAGAATCTCTATCACTTAGCTCTAGGTAACAAGGGGCAGCAAAGTAACCGCTAAGCATCGTGATCTATCGGCCCTCACGGCAGGCACTGAGCCACAGC